TGAGTTGTTTGATAAGTCTCTAATGACATTCTTTACACTCTCACCTTGACTATTTTCCAGAAAACCGTGGAGATTACAGCGAAGAGCAAAGAGAAAGATTCCATCAAGATATAAGTGAAATGGAAAATTGATGTCAAGAAAGATGGGATATCAACATGATGGCTTGTTTCTGTTGGAAATTAAAGAGAGAAACAACTTAAGAGAGGAATGAAAGAAAAAGAAACCCGCTTCATAGGTCGTTCAAACAGAAAAAAGTTTGCTACAAGAGAAAGAAAGTGTAAGAGCAATATTAACAAAAACACGATGCACATGTATAGACCTATTTTGCTTTATTATACGTGTATGAAATTCATACTTGACACTTGTTATTCCTTATATTGGCCGTTTTTTTACATCATTTTTCGACATGCAAAAAGTACATATTTCGAAAAGATTTGAAAAAAACTTTTTTGAGTCTTTTAACGCTCACAAATGCAATTTTCTTTTGTTTATACGATTTCTTTGGAATTTCGAAAGTTTTAGAGCTAAACGAATCTCCAACCCTTACTCAGTAAAAAATGAAACATGAGAATTGGATAAAATCTGCAAGAAATTTTTTTTTATTCTTAGCTAGAGCATAGAAATTCGATTTTTTACGATTTACTATGATTTTCTGCGGTTTTTTTGCTGTTTTTGCAAATTTATTGAAATTTTTAGGGTGTACGGGTCAAACAGACGTTGAATCTATATTCAATGCATTAAAATGTATATGAACTAACCTTTTCACATGTGTAAGAAACTTTTTTGAATGTTGGAAGAGCTAAAAGTGTGATTTTTTTCTATTTTCGGCTATTTTCTGCAGTTTATTGCCATTTACTCAAAATTTTGAGGCTGTACGGATGAAACGAAGTTTGGATACGGATTCAACGCATTAATATACATATGAATCAACCTCATCACATGCGTACCAATTTTTTTTTTTAATGTTTGAAGAGCTTGAAATGTGATTTTTTACGATTTTCGGCTAGTTTTCGTAGTTTTTTCGTAATTTTCTCGGAATTTTGAAGGTGTACGGGTCAAACGGAAAGTACAGTCCACTTTTTTTTTGTGCCAGTGTTATCTATGAAGCAATAGGCATTAATTATAATTAGAGGATAGACTCTTTATTCTTGTAATTAAAATCAACACTGGCATGACTCTTTTAATAATTAGTCTATTTTTTGGAGAGCATCGAACAATGATTGTAAACATATTCTTTGTTACTTTATAACATCTTCCTTGTAATACATTAGAGCAACTATTTTGGCCTGATCAGAACACTGTTCAAAACCCAATGCTAGCTCTTTTTTATCTAGAATTTAGTGGTACTACAGTCATAAGTCATTGCACAGAGTTTGAAAATAGACTTAAGAGCAGAAGTAGATAACTTCTTGCTTACACTATAAGAAGAGTTTTACAGCAAAAGTTTTGATAAATAATGCACCATCTGGTTTATACATCTATAAATAAGTTCTGGATTTAAAACAGCAGGTGACACAAAAAATAATTGCTAAATTACTGTTGAATCAGGGTGACTGATAAATTTGAAGATAATGATTTACTTATAGTATACAAAGGCTTTTCTGAAATTCAGAAAGTTCTAGATACAAGTGAAAATAAAATTTTATCAGTAATTCCCCGCTTCTTTGAAAACAACACAGAATTTTTAAAAGAGGAGACAATACTAACTTATAATATAGCTAAAGTTAGGATTTATACCGAAATATCAATAGAAAGTTTCAAAACGTAAAGCATTTTATAAAAAGTTTTCTCCCAATTCTCCAATTTAATTGATGACTGACAACGTTTAACACGTACATTCCGTATTAGTAAATTTGCAATCACCCATCTTCTATGAAAGTATAAACAACCATAAAGATGATTGAATTTTTAAGTTTTGCTAGTAAAATGTGTATTAGTAAAAAAACTTTTAATTCATTTGTTTTTATTAATTTTTTTATTTAATCAACGGTATTTAAAATTTCACTATCTATATAACAAAATGTTACAAATATTGTGTCTAAGTGGTTTATTAAACAATTTACCTTTTAACCGTGTTTTTTAATAATCTTCAAGTCACATTCAGTTCATCACTCTTACAAGACTTTTTCGTCTCACAGTCAGTAGTACTCAAAGCATACGAAAAACGTGAAAAATAAAGAATTTTGCATTTAGTAATGGAGTTTTTATCATTCCTTCCAATAATATTTTTTACAACACAACTTTCGTCTGGAACTAGGGAATAAATAAACAAGTTACACGTAGTAAGACCACAAGCGTACATTAGTATTTGATACTGCGTGTAATACAAGTGACTTTTTTAACGCAATTTTACCCAAATCTACATATAAATGAGGAGCACTTATTGTTACACATTTTTTATCGATTTCTATTACTGGTACTTTGGCATAAGTAAAAGTACATTGCAATTTTGATAATTTAGTTACATAACCTTTAATTATAACATTCTATCCAAACATGCACATAACCACGGTTGACGTTGGTTCATAACCAGACCATTCTTTTTAACTTGACAATTACATTTTTTTTCATATTCCTAATGGGGTGTTCTTTTATAATGAAGTCTATATAAAGTTCTTTAAAAACTGAATTTTTCCGGACACATGACTGAAACTGAGAACTCAACACTTTTTTTAATATACTTGATACTATCAGCACTTTTGTTAGCAGAAATTCGTTGTTTTCTTCACCTATTCCACTTATTATTTAAAGATTGTTCAGCTATATCACGGCACAATACAGAGCAACTTAAGCCAGTGAGAGTGAGAGAGGCTTTTTCCGTGCTTTTTCTAATCACTCTCTTTTACTCCCATGGGCTTAAGTGGTTCTGTAATGCAAATTTCGTGCTCCATGTGTCCACATCCTAATTCTTATAAATACCATGGATCAAAACTGGATATTAATCATACAGAATGACTTAGTTTTTTTCCATTCGGGTAATTGCATATGATGATGGACAGAATATGCTAGGGTACAGGTTCTTCTATCGCAAGATATTCGTGAGCATCTTTGGCAAGATTGTGCCATCTCGTGAATGTATAATTATTTTTATATTAGATAAAGGCCTTACATAATTAAATACGTTTACCTTTTGAACAATCCATAAGGTGCGAGAGAGAAGTGTCTCTGATTACCAAAGAGCAGAAGCTCATTGTCTTAGTCATTTACAGTACATATTAATAACCCTGTTACTGTGCATTAAATTTTTGACTGTATTTTTTAGTTGTATTTGATCTACAATAAAGTAGTTTCATTTAATCTATAAGTAAATCATCTGTATTTGCTTTTTATACTTTCCTGAATGAAACTAATTGTAGAAACTAACTGTGTAGGATCTATTACTCGTATCAGTGATAGTATTAGATCCAAGATGGATTAAGTATACGGATCAGCACATAAATATGAAAGCAATACCATCTTATCTTTTACGATAAGTATACTGCTTTATTGAGTATACTATAATACGAAATATTCTTATGCAATATACGTCACAGTTTAAAGTATGAAATTACATGACTCATAACTTAATACTAAAAATAATGTAGTTGTATTAAATCACACAACTCTCATTTTGAGATAGAACATAAGGAGGTTGACGCGCAGGAGCGCGAATCCGCAATGATATGTGTATATTTTTACAGATGGTCATTCTATCGCAAAGAGCTTAAAATGCTTTGAAGAATTGCTTTTAGAAAAATTGGTTGAAAAAATTATTTTTCATAGTGTTTGTACCTGGAAAACCATCCCCAATCATTATCTAAAGCGATTCTACTACAAATTTCTTGGGTCAAATGATTTATGGAATTTTTTACATGTCAATTTTAGTCAATTTTGGGAAAAAATAGATCTGCTTCTGATATGTGTCAGAGTTCTGCTTCTGATTTGTGTCAAATGCCAAGCCAAGTATCTCACATTTTAGACCAACAATACTTGGGAAAAAGTTTTACAAAGCTCCGATGCATGAAAGCTAGATCAAGACATATTTAATTCAAATATTCAGTGTAAGTTTAAGGTAGTATCATGAGCCCTGGATACAATGTAAACCCACGGCAAAATCACTGATGTAAATATTTGATTTAAATTTTTATACATGCATGTACCTTAGTAAATAAAAAAATTTTCGATGTAATCAGAGGCGCACGCCCTCAGATTTTGTTATATATAGTTCAAACACAAATGCGTTAACATACTTCTGTACATTTATATCCACATACACATAAATGTACGTGTAGAAAGTAATCAAACGCTCATTATGCATAATTACATGTTGGCATGCGTATGTGAGGTACTACCAGACAAGTAGTTTTAATTTATGATCAGCAAAAAATTGAGTATAGAATCTTAAGAAAAATTTTAGAAATTTCTTAGTATGTTTTGGTAATAAACGTGACCTTGATATTTGTTCTTATTGTATGACATCACATAATAAAGGATAGTAAAGAAAAAGAGCAGATGCACTGAATATAATTCTTTAAATGCTGAGCACGAATTGAGGCTTTAAAATAGGTGCTTGAAATACAACTTCTTGAATCGTCAAAAACTTATACTTAGTAGATACAGATATATTAATTCTTCTGTCCAGTCAAAAAAAAATGAGCTACTGTGTAAAAAAAGGTAAAAGAGTGTAATGTTATAGGGCAATGAGTCACTAAGACTTTTATTCTAGCCACAAACTAAACAATTTATACTCTGCTATATAAGTGTATTTTCCTTTTTTTCTATTCCTACAGTGTATTAAAAGTTTGGATGCTTAGTATAACAGTTGTTATCTTATAATATAAAATAGTTCTAACTTTGTAGGGACTTATTTTTAAATTATTCTCGATTCTTTCATATTACGAGATTCCTTACGAAAAAGTGTCGTAGACTGTAGGTCCACTAATAGTTTATCATTAAAAGAACATACGATTATTCTGTAATTATTTTAAATTAACCGCCCTGAAAGTGTTCTCACCACTTACAATCTTGCTTGCTCTGTCATAATGTATTCGGGAAGTACAATTTACGTAAAAATTTGTGTAAAATTAATAAAGTCACTTTTTAACTTGTGTAATGTTATTCATACACTTTAACTTACACTGAACTTTTGTTTTTATCTAACAATGGAGAATTTTTCTTTCACTATTAGAGACAATAAGGATTACCAATAACTACTCTAACTGACTGACTAAGAATAAGATCTGACACGAGTCATAATGATAAGAAAAATTTTGCGTTAATTTTCTGAAACAATCATCATAATTTTATATAAGTTTGAATATAACGCTGCTTGTTTATAAGGTCGATTGTTTCTTTGTAGTTTTGATATCAAGAAACATAAATTATTTATTTGTAGAAACTTAATACAATAGTGTTTAAATTTCTTTGATAATGTAGTAAAGTTATCCGTAGAAAACGTAAGGTTTCAAATAAACATATGGAATGATACATTATTATGTAATTAAAATNACCTACAAAAATATAAAAAAATATATTAAAGTTGTATTTTTCCAGCTCTAAAAGATGAAAATATCTACTTGCCTGCACTTTTATTGGATCATGGCCAAAATCGCGTTTCAAAGGTTAAATAATTTTTTTAGAGGTTATGTCGACCGTGGGTGACCTTGGAAAAAATTCTACGCAAGAGAATTTACATTTTCTATACACATAAGTTTTTTTAAATTCCCTGGATTGTAAGAACCCAAGATAAGAAACAAACAGTCGTTTTTTTGTTGTAATTTTTCATTTTGTGAAGGTAAGAACAAAAAATTTTTCCAATGTAACGCTTTTTTTTAAAGTTATATTCTCTGCAAAATTTACTGAGGATATCAGAATTCTGATTTAAATTAAAGGAGGCTCTTAAGTAGCTGAAAAACGTAAAATAAATCGGTTTTTCTAATTTTAGGTTATGTCACACCAATTTAAAAAATTTCAAAGAATACGTGAAAGTTGTGTTTTTTCTTGCTCTACAAGATAGATAAATGACGTCACCTGCACCTCTGTTGGATCATAGTCAAAATTGCGATCTAAAGCTTAGAAAATTTTTTTTTTTTAGGTTATGTTGTAATTGGATGACCTTGAAAAAAATTTTATACAGAAAAAATAATATTTACTATGCTGTTGAATTTTTTCAGATTTTTTTTATGTTTAGACGCCGAGAAAAGAAATGAAATGTAAAAAACACGGTGTTTATGGTCCCTAGCAAGGGAAAAAATTTTTTTGGTCTCGGACCCAGTTGACCCGTCATTTTTAGTCCTAAAAAACAGTTTGAAACTGTTAAAACGAAAAAATTTAATTTAGGGCATTTTGCTTTGCTTAATGGGGGGGGATTAGAAAGCTAATATACGTAGGGCTTAGTGTTATAGATTTATCTAAAACATTAGTCTACAAATTTTATTGTGATTTTATGCAATGTCATTTTAAAGATTAGAGCTAATTTTTGTATATGAATAAGATAATTTTATATATAAAAAGACTTACATTGATATATTTAATGTAAAGCGTGATAATATTCAAGAATTGAGTTCATAGAATAACGAGACTACGAATCAGTTTAACGTTCTTTACGGTTGGGTGATGAATGTTAAGTCTCTTTTTCAAGCAAAATATCTATAGCTAATGAAGACAGTGTAGAATTTTTTAGTGGATTTCAATTAATAAAGTATAGAACAAGATCATAGTTGACTGGCACAATTAACCATTGATGATATTTATTATGTAAGAGAGAAGTATTCTAAGGCTGAACATGAAAGTGGTGTGGTATCAGATTCTAATAGGTGTTAAATAGTGTGTTAACAAATTAGTAGTATTATTGAATAGTACTAGTTCTATTATATTTCAATTTTTTTTTTTTTTTTTAATAAGAAACATTTAACATTGCAATAAGTGAATATTGTATTTATTCATGTACACACTAATGCAGTACAAGCATATAATGAAAACTTTCCAATTATGAAACATTTTTATAATTAATTGTTATGATTCCAGCTGTTATGGACAGTGTCAAAGCCCAACCATTTTACAAAAACTTGATTTTCACGTCCTCGAAGGATCTTTCTCACAAGGTATAAAAAGACTTGGTTTTCTGCAATTTATTATCATAAAAACGTACGGAGATGGATTTATTTTGATAATCTATAAAATAATACGTTGTTAGGTTTGTTGGTGCCACTTGAGTGATAGTAAATAATTCCATTGACCAATTTGGAGTATACCTTTTTTTAAATGCTTGCTTAGTTCTTCTCACATATTCTTTATTACAGATTTTTAATCTGGACTAATAATTAAAGCTACTTTTACACATTTTTTAAAACTTTCTCATTACTTGAATTTGATTTTTAGCCGTAACATCAATCGGCTTAAACCAATTATTTGATGTTTTCTATCATTAAAAAATTTGATTATAGCTTGTTACAAACTTATCCATTTACAGCTACCATGAAAATTAAACTTTCTCAATAAATCTTATAAAGTACGATTCAATTGCTCGTATATAGGAACTTTGAAATTGCTATAAGTTGGGTATACATTTTTTAAATACGTTTGCTTTAGATTTTGAAAGTTCACATTGTAGAATTCTTTGCCATGGTCAGTTCGCATGTATATTGGTACCCGTTTTTTTTTCAATATCGAATGCATTGTTGCAGTTACTTCTTCAACAGTTTTTTTCTTGATGGGTACAGCCCACGCGTACTTGAAGAATATATCTATTACATTGAGCATATACTGATATCCTTTGTTTTCAGTAGCGTAAGGCTGTATCTCTACAAGGCCCGCTTGCCAAGTCTCGTTTAAACCACGTATGTTGAATTTTCGGCGAGGATAGTTACGCCTTGCTGATTTATGCAGTTCCTCAACAATTTGCTCCATGTATTAACTGACTAGGTTTAAGTTTTTTGAATCAGCTCAAATAAATAGGAATGTTTTTTGTAAGTTGTACAAAAAAATTCGAAATCTATCTAGCTCTTCCATAAGTTTTTTAACTACTTCAAATAAGTAATCATAACTAACTACGTTTTAAAGCTGTTTCAGTATTCCAACATCGCATAGTCTTTTTTTATCTAAGTCAAACTGTCCATTTGTAGTAAATTTGTGTCCAAAACTAGGAGGATCTTGGCTACTGCCTACAGTTCTACACTGAAGCTATAACTATAAGTATTAATTTATGTATATAAATATGTTTACATATATATATCCTTTTTCACGAAGTTCTTCGATAATTTATATAATTTCATTGTCATGACTTGTATTTCCTGCTGACTTTTCAGCTGTAAACAATCGTTAACGATCTTCTAATTTATTAGGATCAACCCAATGTACATTATCTATTTGTTACATTATTCAAGCAATTTTACAATGAGGTAGCAACGAGCCACCTTTCGTCAGACCATGTTGTCAAACGATGGAGCAATAATGCTATTGAACTTATTGCTGTTATGAGTTCGTACAGCTCCGTTTTTTGTAAGCCCTTTTTTATGAATAGCTGTAGTTTGTAATATTGTGCAGTATTTTTTAAATCATGAGTCATCAGAGACTTATTAGTGTGTTTTATGACAAGAAACTCAATTAATCCAGAACTTATTGAATAATTTAAGATGTTTATTTTGATACAATTTTTTTTAGGTCTTACTTGTGAATCACCAAGATTATACACTTCTTTTTCTTTTCGTACTCCATACTTTAAATCAAATAAATCTTTCAGACTTGGATTTAGTATAATTAAATAAGAACTAAATAGTGTAACGTGTATATAGTCTTAGCTCTTTATTGCAATGAATTTATTTTTCATAAATGCATTATTTATTTTCTCAAATGCTTAGTCATGATTTAACCTCTGAACATTAATCATCATCATACATCACCATGCATTGTAAGAAAGGGCACGGTCTTGTTAATAAAATCATAAATTCTGTATTAGTAAAGCTTTATTTACTAGGCTATCAGTACTGTGATCCAGCTTCTAAACTTGCTAAGCATCTTGCTAGAAAAGATTCAAGAGTTAATCTGTTAGACGTAGCATGCAAAAGGAAAAAATGCACACTGGTGGGCCGTGACCAGTTTGCACTGGCACTTCGTATGGCAAAAATTCTGCAAGAGTGTATAGAAAACGCCCAAGTATTAAATTACTGAAAATTGATGTCCCCCTACAATGAGAATCTAACTAGTATACTGGGAATGGGCTCTTCTTGAGCGCTGCGGGTTACTGCCCAACAACCTACCAGCGGCACCAGCTCCAACGGTGGCATCGGATTCTAGCAAAAGGGCACTACCTTTCGACGCCAGAGCACAGGGTGCTTATTGCTGCATGATCCCGACGGCTGATTATAATGAAGACCACTCCAGCCACCCTCAATTTTCCCTCGCTGTTCAAAGCCACCTACCCTAAAAGGTCGCTTATAACAATCTTTTGACAAAGAAGTTAATTTTTATTATAAACGAGGAGAAAAACTATATATTTCTTAAAGAAATAGCGTAAAAGTAAATTCATGCCAGAGACAACAGCTTAACTCGTGAGCGCAATAATAGAGCGTGCCATCTTTAGCAAGAAAAGCTCTCTAGAGTGCCAACTTTTAGGTGGCGAATGCGGCTTGCTACACAAACGGATCTTGACTTTATCAGTATAGATGAATTATCCTTGTACTTAACGTACATTTGGTACTCAATGAATCTACGTTTTTTATACTCACATCTCTTTACTGCACGAAAAAAAGACTGGCACAGTAGCGCACCCTGCAGGAACACTGTCCCGCTCAAACACACTGAACGCGGCACGCCTATTGCCTGAATTCGCCGCTCGCCACTTCAGGGCTCGCAGTGAGCCCTGACAAGGCGAGCTGACTGGCTCAGGTGACTGCCAAGTCTACCACTACTATTATATGTGGTGTATACATGTATACATAGATCAGCTCCCGTTTACTTATTCAGAGCTTGCTGTGAGCCCAGAGCTTGGATGAGCAGCGATCCATGCTATAGAGCGCGCTGTCTTTTTTCTCAGTGGTGACCTGCCATGCCACTCCTTTTTCCACGTGTGTTTGCCTGCTTCGTACCTTCGTCATTCTCGAGCCAGGGGTAAGGTCATCATGTATTTCTCTAAGTATAAATGCATTTACATAAAGTATATGAAGTTTTAAGTATTTTTTAAACTTTTAATTG